GGTCGACTCAGGTAAAACCTGGGAAGCTACTGATTAGGATCTGTACCTAGGCAGTCTCGGCCACGGGTGTTTAAAATCAGTCTCCACTGGACTGGAGTCATCGCTGGCAATGGCTGTTTCAGGCTCGGCAGCGACCGTATGGTACTTTTTTGTTCATTCCGTTGGTTGTAGTGGAGATAGATCCGTCGGTTATAGTCAGATATTCGTGGTTGTCTGGGGTGAAACAACCCCGTTGATGGAGTTGGCGAATTCAGCGAGCCTTTAAACTGCTTGAAGTTTCCAGTGCAACTGGGGCCTCAAAACTGCATATTCATATCCTTCCTTGGTTTTCCCCTGGGAGCGTATAAAGCCGACATCTGTATACGACGACTTAGTGTTAGCAGGCTGGTTTGGTGGCACAGTCTGTCTGACAGTGTTTCGTTATGCAGTCCGGGGTTGGGGTCCCTGTTGATGGCAGATGTTTTTAAGACCCACTGTGCTAGCCTAACACAGTTCTTGACAGGTCATGGACCATTCCCAGTATACCTGAACAGATTCAGACTTAGGGATACTCCTTTCTGCGAATGCGGAGAGGAAGGCGACACGGACCATTATTCCTTCCATTGTGTACATACAAGAACCTGGCATTTGAAGAAACCAGCGGACTGTGTCTGGGCAATGTGGACGACTAACACACTCAAAAACAGAATAGCCCTTGATAAAATAGAGAAAATCTCAGGACACTGCCTAAGCAGAAACAACCGTGGATAATATTATAATGTTTCAAAAGTTCAGAACTTAAAGCAGATAACCAGAATAACGCTTAGTGCCTTGCAGTTAACAATACGTAAAAACTGTTATTAGTATATAATATTCAACCTTGTTACTCTGGAGTCTTCCCCGCCGTGATCGTATATAATTCCGTTTGGTTCATGTCCGTGGTCGGAAGCCATCATAGCGGTGCACTCACTCACCATCCCTTCAGAACAGGGACGTGGAATGCGAGTTGCTCAGCTTAGTCTTAGCTCGTCTACTGGACCGATAGGTTAGCGGCTTCTTGGATCGCCTTTAGGGATTTCGGCGTTTAACTGTGTTAAGGTAGCCTCGCGCTTGCCAGCTTTCCTCCTAGCATACTATCTTTATTTGACCGAGAGTTATAACCAGGGCAGGATTTCGTCTCTGGTGTTCTCTTCTGTCTTATTTGAACGTGCAAATACTTGATGCCGATGCGTATGTAAGGGTAGACGCATTCGACAAATCGCTTAATCCTTATTTTGTGTCTACTGTTGCAAACGTAGTAATTTGTGCAATATTTATCTTTTTTGTGATCGCTTGCTGTTATTGTTTTTCTGCATAATAAAAGTAAGTGCAGTTACATATTATGTTAAACTTAGGTTAACTTTTTAATCCGGAGAACCAACAATTTGAGCATAATTACTCGAAAGCTGTTTAGCTCTCATGTTTGAACCATTGTCGTATTCTTGGCGTAAATTACTAACGTCAAAATCATTTTCCTCTAAAGTCTTTGATAAGAACGTTGTTCGTCTTCCACTTTTCGTATCTGTTGTAACACAAAATACTAAAAACCTGTCTTCAATACTCATGTCTGTATTTTCTAAATTAAAATTACCTCATACAATACTATCTGCTCTTGATGGCTGGCATCAGGGGTACAATCAAGTAAAATAGAAAAATGCTTTGCCTGTTTGACCTTATTTGAAATAATTTGCCATTTATTATTCCCTAATAAGTTAATTATTTTATTTTGAATTTTAACTCCAAGGTAATGAAGCATATGTTTTTAGTTTTAATTTTATTAATATATACAGATAAGATAGGGTCAAATATTGTGATCATTTCTATACACTTTAAAAATTATTATTTCTTTCGAATAGTTTGTTACTGGAACCACGGAAGGCTAAGTTTTGTTTGGCTAAAAACTGAATGGCATAGATAATTCTCTCAATAACATCGCGCCAATGCTTAGTCTCTTTTTTTAATAAAATTTGCAATTCCGAATTAACAGGTTTATTCTTTCGTAATCGTTCTAAGAAATCGGATTAACTCTTTCGTTGTCTGGCAAGATTCGACATGAGTACATCTAAAAAGGTTTACGTCCAATTTTGTCTTTTGGGAAACTGAAACACGAAACCAAGTTTTGGTAATATTCAGGACCATTTTCTATTAACGCTTGAACTTGAGATGGCAATAATGGACTTGGGCATAATCCGGAATCATCAGACACATACAAATGCGTATCTATTGCAGAAATTGTAGATTTCAATAGTATTTCTTCTGTTTTTTTGACGGGCTGCATTGAAGTTAAAGGTAATTCTCGGGTGAAAACGCTTTCTAAACTCTTTCTAATTATTAAGTTCTTTTGGTAATTTCAATGGTAGCTGAGACGTTGACGAATAACTAGTGCTAGTAGCGTCAGCTTGAGTATTCTTTGGTTTTTAGAAAAACTGAATAATTTTAAAGTTCTGGTTTATTAAATTTTCCTCTCACTTTTTTTTTTTTTCCTTGCTACATTCTGATACTCAAACAGTTTTTTTTTTTTTTTTTTTTTTTTCTGTTTTTCTTCGCGACATCTAGGGAAAAATGAAAACAGGAAAAAGTGGAAGTAAAAATAAAAGCAGAAAATAACTATTATAAGAAACTATCGTGTAAAACACTTTCTTCTTTAAAAATATTCTACTCGGAAAGTCACTGCTTGAAATAATTTCCCTTAAGAAAGAATATCTAATCATTGAGAATTTTTAAAAGGGGTGCAATTTGCATAAAAATTTATGCTGAAATTTATCTTTAAAAAGTTATAGAATACAAGAAGATTGAAATCTTTTGCAGTTGAAATGTTTAATTCTGCATGAGATACGATAGTACACACTTCGGTTAATCTTTGATTATGGTGGCGAATTGCGACCACCCTTGAACCTGCTAATTTTGGAGATTTGTTTTCACGAAGTAAAGCATTTTTTTTTTTTTTTTTTTTTACTCACATTTTTTTTCAACAACTGCTAGCCGATCTTATGCTAGAATTTTTATGCCAAAGTGCTAATCGCTTGGTGCGAATTGGGAGAATGCAGAATGCCCCTGCTTGCCGCGTTTTTAAGAATTGCACATACAACACTGTATCCATGTACACGTCGACCTATTTTCACTTAAAAAAACATCCCAGAATTGCACAAAAATGGCACTGCGCACAGTCTTGACTTTATCCATGTACACTGCTAAAGTCCTAGCTAGCAACCTTTATCGCCTTACCAAAATGTCACCAAACTACCTGTTACCATATTCCAAAGATTAGCCCACACTTCAAGTGGTAAAAAAATGCTCCGATTGCGGATTGAATATGTAGCACACTCTTTTGTTTATTAAAGCAAATAAAACAAATTTAGAGACGTAATGAAAATAACGAAAAATTTTCCTTCGGCTTTCAGTATAGCCAAAAATCGGAAAATGGCCAATTATATGTTAACTTCTTTAAACAAAGTAGTTGAAATTGCGATTCTGAAAAGAATTCGCTTCTTCATTGATGAAACTACTATTTCTATTCCAAATCAGTTTGGATTTCAAAGCTAGCTTATTGCGATTCACAAACTGTACAGAGCAGTTGATTACGTTTCAGATGGGCTGTAAAGGAAGAAAATTACTAGAGGATTTTTCCTAGATATAGTTTTTGATCGCGTCTGGTTGGATGAACTGATATACAAAATGCAGCCTGTATTTCTCAGGCTACATCACAAATATTATTAACTCCTACCTAACCAACTGCTAATTTGTCTTTCATCTCTCCAATACGTATTCCATCCTCGGTGCTTTTTCAGCCGGTGTTCCTTAAGAGTCCTTCCTAGGGACCCATTCTATATAATATTTATATAAACGGCATTCCACAGACATCAAGCACTACTCGTGTAGTGTACGCTGATGACAAAGCGATTCCTTGCATAAATTTCATTTCTTTCTTAGGCCAGTCATACAGCATTTACAAAACCATAAACATGCACTTAGGTTCTTTCTAATTAAATGGAAAAGACAAACAAATGTCGACAAGGCAATGACAAGTTTACTTACCCTGAAAATAAAGATCAACTGAAACTCAGGGCTCACTGGCCTAAGCAAGACCTTAGCAAGACATGGACCGCACACATTACATCCATTATACAGAAATTTAGAGAGCGTAAAGATAGCCTCTTCTCCCTAGTTGAGACACCTTTCCTCTATAGACAACAAATTACTCATTTAACAAACCCATCTTGCCTCCTATATTATGTTATGTCTGCCCTGCCTGGGCCTACTCATACAGTACCAATCGGAAGCAATTACAGACTATGCAAAATATTGTTCTATGTCAAATTTATAAAGCTCCATGATACATGCCTAGTAACAAAAGCCGTGGAAAACAGAGCATTGTTCAACTCAAAAGTTTTTCTATAAACTGGCGACACAATTCCAGGAAAAATACTGTTTAATTTATATGAATATATTAATACTTACGGCTATAATGTATGCAATGCAAGCATGTAAAATGCCCCAGAGCAATTTTATTATACGTATTACTTAAGGGTCGTAATATTACTTTGTATAGCTTGACTTATATTAATGTTTAATACTCCAACTATACAGTTATGCCTTGTAAAAGAAATTCTTTGAACTTATCAAAAATTTCTGACAACAGACATTCTTTTAACAGACATAATTAGCAATGATGACTGTAATTCGACAAGGATAATGCATTATGCGCAAGCACCCTGGCGTTTGCTGCATTCCATTCTGATACCTGTACTGTCTTTAACAGTGTATCTCAATAGAGGACACTTGTGGGAGGGGGAGTCAGGCCCGGTGTTTCGTGCGCCATCCTGTAGTTGAAAGTGTAATTCTTAGCGCAGTTTATTTTCAGAGCTGTGAAACTTTAGTTTTTCGCATCATGAATTGGAATATTAACTGTTCTATAAAACATATTAACGTTTCTTGTACAGCCTTACAAAAGTTCCATTTCTTGAAAGGAATTTGAAACTTACCTACGGCATCTGGATTGTGGCTTTCAGGTACGGTTCCAAACCGAATATACGGCACATTTTCCCTGTGAAGAAAACAAAGATGTATTAGTATTATATGAATTAGTCCAAAATTAATCAATATCAACATAATTAAGTTATCAGTATCTGTACAACAAATAATGAAGACTCACAGTTTTTCTGAGAAACAATATAGTTAAGAAAAACGAGATTTGGCGATACAGCGCTAATTGGCTACATTCTAAATTTTTTAAAAATTCAGTTTTGAAAATTTGAAAATTAGCCAAAGTGATTAAATCTTGCAACAGAATTATAAAATACAGAATAAATAAGAAGTATGCGAAAATGTACATTTTGGCGTCAACAGAAGGCAATTTGCAATAAAAAGTTAAATAGAACTGCTGAAAATTTAATCTTTAAAAAGTTATAGAATACAAGAAGATCTGAAATTATTTTGCAGTTGAAAGATGTTTATAATTCTGCAGTTGTTTTAGCGCGAAACAGCTAGTACACACTTCACGTGGCAAAAAAAATGCTCTGATTGCGGATTGAATATATAGTACAAATAATTTACAGTAAATAATGTTTACAAAAATCTGAGGTGTACACCAGATGACTTCCTTCTACGGAATATTAAATTACACGCACTTTTACCTGCATTTCATTTAAACTTGTTTTCTCAAATTTCAATACAGATATACGTATTTCTTATTCAATTAATTCAGTACTCACTTCGCTTCAAAGCAAAAATACATAAAAACACAAAATAATTTCATTAAGGTTTGAAAGATATAGAAAAACATAAAACACTAAATGCAGTTAAAACAATTTTTACAAGTAAAAATATAGTTTCTACGCAAACACAAACAATTCCGCCAGCAGGCAAGGAGGTAGATTTTTCGGTGTACAAAATGAAAGTTTCGTTTTGATACCCCTCGGCAAAAAGACATTGAAGGAGCAGAAAGACTTAATTCACTATTCTTGTAAGTTGTTTCAAATGTAAACAAATATGGCTGCTATATTAAAAATATAAAGCTTTGCCGCACTTAAACAACTTTTAAATTGTTGATAATTCTATAACTATTGCATGCAGATTAATTAAAGGCATAAAAACCTTAACCGGAAGATAAGAACAACATAATTCAATCATTTTTAAAGCAAAAAATGCACAATTTACCAACATATAAGATTTAAAAAAAAAAAAAAAAACTGAGCTTACTTAGCCGAATAACAAAGTGGGTATATATATATATATATATATATATATATATTTATGTACTTTTGGTGCTGCCGACTGTATCCAAAAAGGGAGGTGCAAAACTACATGGTATAGCAGTCCTATATACAAAATTTCAACGTTCTAATGCTACTCGTTTTTGAGTTATGCGAGATACATACACACATACATACGTGCGTACGTACACGTACGGACGCCATGAAAAAAATCTCTTCTGAACCCATTTTAAATCAGTTTTTTAATTCGTTTCGGGGTAAAAGAGTCCTTACGCACAGATGTCCCGCAAAAACATCATTAAATTGCATTCGCTAGCGATCAAAATGGATATTTTCGTTGAAATATGAAACCCGGAATTTTTCGTGATTGCAGTACTTCCTTTATTTCGTACAAGGAAGTAAAAAGCAGCAATTTTTGTCAAGCCAGCTGCAATTAGCAAAATAAATCGTATTATAAATCTCAGAACTGCAAGACTATATTAAAGCATATATATATATAAACCGGGAAAATGCTGTGGAAACAGTGTGAGTATAGCGACAAAATCATAAGCTGATTGTATTCAATAAACCTTTATGTGATTTGGTAAAAAAATTTGAAGAAACTTGATGCACATGTAGTAGACTGCAATGCGGACGACTATTTTTTCCTTTTTGAAATTGTTACCGAAGTGCATAATACGACTATTGCAGATCCGTTGCAAACTGCAAGAAGTGTTGCCTCCAGTTTGGAAATACCGAAGTCCACAGTCTTTAAGCTTCTGTTCTGCGAATGTTCCTTTATCGATTCCAACGTGTTCAGACCTTGCAACCTTGCAGACGGGTAACAGCATGTCGAATTATTTCCTCATCAACGATGACGAAGATAGCAAGCGGTCGATGCGGGTATCATGGGCGGATGAGGCGCATTTCTCTAGGAACGTAAACTCCAAGATCGGCTTCACTTAATAACGATGTGGTACCAGCTGTAGTAACTATTTTCATTAGTATTCATTTGATCATTAGATTGACATTCATCGAACGTTAAATCCAGATCCAAGTGATTATTCCGTTTAATATTACCACTCACAAATATATTTACATATCATGCAATGCTTACAAGCATTATTATTAGTCACACGCCTTCGTTACTATTAGGGTTAACACATTCGCTGTTCCATGAAATTTAAGTTCTAGAATAACATCAGAAACAGGATGCTCGGAGCGCCACCTAACAGCGGGAGCTATCAATTCATAACATCCTGCCCCACATGAACAGCAAGTTCATCAGTTAAATCTAACTAATTAATATCACACAATACTTACTTATCAACAACAATAATGATTAATTTTCAATACTAGTACAATAAATATTAAAACAACATAATGAAAATACTATAATAATAGATAACAAAACAATAATAACTAATAAGAAAAAAAAAAAGGAATAATATAATAGAATTCTAAATGAAGTCATAACTTTAAATTTTCTTATTTTATCAGCATATAATCTATTCTGAAAGTTCCAATAGATACAAAAGTTGTATTATTCTTTTCACTATATCAGATTTAAGTTTTACACTGGACGATCGTATCTTGCTGTCGCGTTCGATATATACTGCCTAGGTTCTACATATTTCTAGGCAACTTGCTGTCTCCGATTAAGACTACATCATTCACCTTAAAGTCTCCTTTGACCTTTGTTGGTGTTATACAGTTTGCAGATTTTAAGTTTATCAAATATTCCCTTGAATCTGTTAGATCATTATTTTTCCAGTAATGAACTAACAGATTTTGTCGACAGTTGAGTCATTTTAGCATATTATATCTATTTTCATTAACATTTCCATCATATTTGCCAGTGGTAAAGAAATCAAATGTTTCCTTATAAGAAAATGCGAAGGACTTAATAGAGATAACTCCTAGTAATTACTGTACGCATAGGTAATAGATCTTGAATTTATGACAGCTTCCATTTCTGTTAAGACAGTTCTCAGTTCATCGGTAGAGATGACTTCCCAATTATTTTCTTGAGGCTTGTTTTCACTGTTCTCACTATACGTTAATAGAAGTTCCCCCACCAGGCTCCCTATTCAAAGATAAATTTCCAGTGAATTCCAGTTTCCCGAAAAATCCTCTAACTTCACGGTGGTTAATTTTCTTCCGTATTTTTTTCAGCTCTAGATTTGCTCTTTTGAAAGTTTTCACATTATCGGAGGAGCGTAAAATATAAAAAAAGTTAATTTTTAATTATCACAACATTTTTTATTCTATGTAAATAAAAATAATATCAAGGAACTGTTTAAAATGGCACATTATAAGACAAAATTGTCAGAGAAATATTTAAGTGAACTGAATTTTATTTTTCTTATTTATCTATGCTATTAGCATTTATATGTTTTTAAAATTTTCTTAATGTCCCAATACCCTTGGCACATAGCAGATAGACAATTTCATTTTTAGTCACAGTATGATCAAGTTGCTAAAATAGAAAAGCTAAAAAGAGTTAAAAAGCTAAAAAAATAATTTTAAGTGCTGCCTCTTTTATATCATCTTTATGAGTGCTTAGTTAAAATATAAAGGGATAATAGTTATCAAAGAAATAAGAAATTTGTTTCATACTTTTTTTTCCTGATAAAATTAATCGAATGCCTTATGTTAGTAATTTTTAAACCTCAAAAGTTTTAATTTCCTTATTTTATTCAAAATATAAGATATAGGTTCTCTTATTAATCTTTGGTAGTTTTTTATAATTTTATATCGTTATTTAATTAGTTTATTGATTGATTTACTTAGACCAATTACATTTGAATTTACTTAGTACTTACTTTACAGGATTGTCTATTTTAAAAATGAAATAGTCATACTTAAATGAATAAGCATTGACGGTAAGTAGTATCTAATTAAGGTAAAACTTTGTTACTTTACGAATGCAATACTGAGCCTTTTCAGAAAATTAGCGTTCGATTTTGAGGCCGCTCAAATCGTGTTTATAAATAAATTTAACCTTATGGGGATAATATAATGTCCAGTCTGGGTGATAGATGCAAGAACTTAAAGATCTTATAAATATGGATAACTGTTTCTCAATTGTCAGTGACTAAAAATCACTTTAATCTAAAATTACGATTATCTTAAAAAGTAATGAAAGATTGAATAATAATACCACATTTTGATTATTTCGATATTTGAAGTATTTCAGTATTTTAGCATACTGCAATAATAAACAAATTGGGCACAGCTTTAGTATTAGTCCTTTTTGGCGAGAAATTAGTTTGGCGACATTTTGGAGCGATAAATGTAAAATTATGATAACCTTGATAACCCTAAATACTAAGCTGAAAAAGCATGCCGCCATTTCTGTCCACGTAACTTTACGTTTGTGTTAGGAAAGCGCAATTAAAATATTTTTAAAAAAGCTTAAAATTTGATAGTTAAAACTGATGCTTTTAATATTACATGACATGAGTCTTGACATTTTTTCATATGTCAACTCTGCATATTATTATAAGCTCCAACCCCCAAGAAAAAAAAAACATTTTCAGTAGCATGAAGTAAACTCTTTGTGTTTCCTTTGCTAAGGAGATTACTTTTTTTGCCTCATATTAGAACTATAGGGATGTGTAATTGCATGAATTCATAGGTTCAAATCAGGACCAAAATTATTGCTTTTATAACATTTTTATAATTTGGCTGACTATAAAAAATATAATGTTGCTTAGATTATGGAATAGATTGCTTATAATTTACAGTTCTCAAATTTTGTAAATCTTACAACCTAATAGCTGTATATGGATAACCTTCACTGAGTATTATTACTTTTATTAATAGTATGTTGACATAACAGTCGACTTTTTATTTTAAATTTTATGCCAATTTTCTACATTACTTAAACATTTTATCTAACAGAAATCTGAATTTTTTGTAATAAAAACTCTATAATAAAAGTAAGAGTACAATTTATATATAAAAATTTGATTACATGGCAAGCATGATTGCTGTATTATTAATGCAAGCATGATTGTTGTATTATTACCTTTGGTACAAAATTTAGATACTGATTTCAATGTCTTTAAATGTTATTATTATAAGGTTTAGATATATTCTTATTAAGATATACTTTTATTCTCTTATAAAGTTTAGATGTACAGAACAGAAGGCACACTTTGTGCTTACAACTCAGTCAACCATTTGTGGCAAGATAACTTATGATAACAATTAAGTTCAAATGTAAAATTTAAATTCAAAATAAATCAATTTAATGCAAAGTTGATTAAAAACTTAAACGGCGTGGAATTCAACTATCAGCAATTACAATGCAAGACTGAAGACTACAAATCTTATCTTATCTAGCTATCTAGTAACGTGGCCTCAAAAGGCAAAACACGGTTTGTTTTACAAACTAAAAACTTCATTTAGATTCTGGTGAGAAAATGGATGGATGAAATTGATAGTAAAGATCCCAAGCATAAAATAACTCTGGTTACAAAATAAAGAATGTTACATTATACTTTGTGCCGATTAATTATTCACTACATGAAATAGTGTAATGCATTTTTGTTTGCATCATATACAAATTATTTATTTTATTTAAATGCTGTCCAAAACTGAACAGGATTTTGCAAACATATTGACCATATTTTCGACCTATAGATGCAACACTTCTTTACTTCAGAAGTAAGATTTAGAATTAAGAAATAAGAAAATAAGAGAGAATTATGAATAGAAAATAAATATATATGCTGGCTAGCAGAAGGATGCCTTCATAAAGTACTTTTTAAGAGAAACTGGCTCAGATTCACATTACATATACGAAAAACCACAAAAACTCCTATATAGCCATATACCCTGAACTACCACTGTTCAGTGGTTTATCACTCCAACACTAGTGGATTCCAATGACTGTTCGAATTTTTCACAGAAATCATCATTTATGATGATTGTTGTATTATTACCATTGGTACAAAATTTACTCATTATGATAATTTAATTTTAGCTTTTAAATTATAAACATAAATTACTTGTAATAAATTTAGGGATTAAAAAATACACACTTCTTAATATTTTTACCATTTACAAAATTTAATCATAAAAAGTATTTCTAACGCTGCTACAAAACTTGCTCATTATAATTTAATTTGATTTCCTTCACTTTGAAATACTTATTTATTTTCTTTTAATAACAGAATCTAAGAAACTAAAGTAACATATACTACTAGTTTGATATGCATTTATGAACCTCTTGTAAATTTCATTATTCATAACATAAAAATTAACCTTTGTAAATTTTAAATATTAGCTAAGTACTAATATAATATAAATATTAACTAACTACTTAAAATATTAATGTTTAATACATTAATGCTATGTTTCGTAATTTAAAATATTAACCTTTTGTAAATTTCATTACTCATAACATAATCACTGCCATAAATTCATTTACGGTAGTGTTTCAAGAATTTATCATAGCAGTACTAGAAATGTTGAAAATTAGAGAAAGACTGTTTATTCTGATTAAGAGCTTATTTTTTAGAATTGTTATTTAGTCTAGATCGGGTTTTGTTGACAATCCGCCATTTTTTTTCCGATCTTCAAAGCTGGGTATACATTGGCGACGGAAGTTTGTCGTCAAATCAAAAAATCGCCAAAAGGACCAATTCTAAAGCTGTTCCACAAATTGTTTTGTTACTTTGAAGGTTGAAAAAAAAAAAAAAAAAAAAAAATCTGAAACCTTTTAGATTTTAAATTACGTCCAAAGGGGCGTTTTTTAACATTTTGTGTTACCTTTCTTTATTAAATATCATGTTCTTCGCACTTAAACCATAAGATCCAGTGCAACAGCAATATCGCAAAATAGTTTTAAAACGAGCATATCTTTAGAATTTCCGATACAGAGACTCACGCGCTGGAGATAAAAATGTTTTTTTCTTTTTTCTTCTGCACAACGTTGCCATTGCTCGCTTTGAAATCCTTGAGTTTGTTAATCAAAAAATTCGTCAAAGTTTTTAAAACATAGGAAATCGATCATAAAACAAATTTCAAATTTCAAATTTGGTCTTCCACATGCTCATATTCGTTGGAGGATTACGTTATTCAAAATTCGATGACTCTATGTACCGTTGTTTTATGACAATGTGAGAAA